GAGTGGATGCGAGTGGGTTTGAGGGTGAATGGGTGTGGGTGTGGGTGTGGGTGAGGGTGTGAGTGTGGGTGTAGGTGTCAGTGGGGTATGATGTAGGGTGTGGTTTTGATGGGGTGTGGTTTTGATGGAGTGTGGGTGTGGTGAGTGTGGGTGTATATATGGGTGTGGGTGGCTGTGGATGTGAGTGTGCGGGTCTGGGTGTGCGTGAGTGTGGGTGTAAATGTTGGGTACGTTTGGATGGGTTGGGGTGTGGGTGTGTGTTTGGACTTGGGATTAAATGAAACGTGTTCTTATGCATCCCACAGCGAGGCCCACACTGATCCTGCACCTATATGCTCCTTATATGTTTTGCAACTGAAAGTTTAGATTTGAGGATGGTTGGAAAACCTATTGAGGCAGTATTCTTCGATATTTTCTGGAATTTTTAGTGGGGCGTGGTAGCTAATGCTACTATGCTTGTTGTTTATGGAAGTTTATTTAATGAAATGAAGGTCGTTCGATTATCTTTAGTTCTCGATATAGTTTGTCGGTTTATTACGACGAGGTCCCATGCAAGTACACTGCGAGTATTAGCGGCGATGTTGGTAAGAAAACTATGTTGTCATTACTGGTCCTTTCTGAAATCCGTACTTAAGAAAGTTTTCTGATATGGCGCGTGTGAAATGTAGCTTTTGTTGTAGTGTATAGCTGTCAAATGCTGCTTGGGATTCGGATTGAATGCGCAAGCAATAGTGACTTCCTACGGATACAGCGGGTTTACACTGTTCAAATTCTTTTCATTCTCTTTTATCTTGATGGCTTTTATTTCAAATAGAGTTACATAGAGGTTTTACAAATGATCTAATGGCTATAATTGTATAACGGACAGATTTCGAGCATGCAATATAGAGTTTTTTTTATCAGTTAGATGGTTTGCCTGAAGATCACGGCACTCTTGGGATGTTGTTGTTTTAAACAATGAATTGAAAACGTTTCCGAGTACTTTGTGCTATTTTATCTAATCTTTTAAGTTCTTCTATTTGGGCCGTTGATGGTTTAACTTGAAGTGTTCCAAATTCGAATGGACGTATGATTAGTAAATCGTCAAGTCTCTTTACACGAGATAATGGAACATAAACCGATGCGAGTTCAATTGGACCAGGCGGCATCACCAGATCGACGATAATTTTACCGAGTGTTTGGCCTTGGCTTTTATGTGTTGTCATGCTGTATGCGGGTATAAGTGGAAGTGCTTTACGTTTGACGGTGAGTTTTGTTGTTTTCTTGTTTATTTTGGCTGCTTTTGCTACATTTTCTGGAAGAAGTTCTTTGGCGTCGAACAAGAATGTTTGTTCACTAATAGCTATAGGAACTATTTTGGACTGAAGTTCAGCAAGTTTGGTATTAAGTTTGCAACCAGGAAATTCTACTAAAGCGTACTTTGGTTGCGTTATAAACTTGGTATTTGGTGGAAAATTCTTATCCTGGTATCGAACATCTTCTGGTGATTCATCGTATACAAGTTGACGAAAAATTCCACGTGTACCGTTGGACAGTCCCAGTTCGGTAGCGATGTTTTCTGTGAGTAAAACTGGCATTCCTGGTACGAGAGGCAGATACCCTGGAAGATGTTCGGTTTTATTGTCAGGTAGTTCAAGTATGGCTTTACGTAATCGTAGATCATTCACTGGTTTTCCTTGAATATAATCTTGAGCAATGCATACAATTGGGGTAAGTCCTATTTCCATTGTTTTGTTTAAGACAGCTCTATTATTAATTTGAGTGCGTAGCGTATTCCGAAAAACCAGTATTGGAGCCTATTGAAAGAAAAGTAATGTGATACACAGAGAAAATGAATGTGCATACTTCGTTCCATGGCTTTTGTTGTAGAGATACTTGAAGTTTTGGATTTCCTATGACTCTCGTACACAGAAGTTGGTAATCTTCTATTGTCGATTGCCCATGTCTTAATCTATTTAAAAGCTCCAAATATCTTATGTCTTGGGTTCGCATTTGCTGAGTTAATTCAACAACGCAGTTTATTTCAGACATAAGTTTCTGTGCACACAACATATCTATCTGACGTTCTGTAATTTGCTGTGTCGATGCGCAGCTATAGTAGAGAGGCTTGTCTAAAACAGGAGAATATTGAAGATAGTCGCCAAAGAAAATGACATTGACACCACCAAAAGGTATCTCAGAATTTACGTGCTTGGCTGTTTTCACTATTCGATTGAGACGAGCTAATAGGCTAAGTCCTACCATACTCATCTCATCGATTATCAAGTACTTCACATGACGCCATTCATTTTCCAATTTCGTATCGCCAGGTCTAAATGTACGGGTTTGTTTCTTTTTACTGTTTTTGCGACTTTCACCTAAAAATGAATGGATAGTTAATCCGTCAATTTCAGCTGCTGCTATAGACGTTGGTGCCAGTTTACGCAACATCTTGTCCCTCTTGGTTACTTGGAAATATTTGGTAATTGCACGAATCAACTGAGATTTTCCAGTGCCACCGCAACCAGGTATGCACATTAATAACTGATTATCGATAGTATCTAAATATCAAGACTATTCAAAATTTTCAATAACAAAATCAATAAAATATTATATACCGGTATAAGCATGATTTTCGCCATCTAAGTGACTAGTTATAATCATAAAAGCATATTTTTGCTGAGTGCTTAGTGTAAATTGTCTGATAATATCTTGTTTTGTTGGAAATAATATTGCATTGGTTGTAGTCACAGGTGGAACTCTTGTAGCTCTCGTTTTAATGGGACTTGTTGGAATTTCAGTTGCTACGACTTCAATCTGTGTTTCATCATCTCGCACTTCCAGAGTATTTTCACCTGAAATTAAATAGTTTCTTGCTTCATCTCGTCGACCTTCAATGTCACGTTTCCATCCTTTAATCATGACGCTGTGATGTGCGTGAGCTACCACAAATGTGTTGATGTCGTGTATGGTGCCATAATTATTTTGGTGCCAAATGTGTCTGCTGTCTAAATCAAAACAAAATATTTTCGAAATATAATAGTAATTGACTCACCATTTAGTAATGCAAATCTATCTGTATTATCAATTGCTTGTAATGCATTATGAACATAGCGTTGTTCTTGAGTAGCTGCCAATGCAGAGTAAGTGTTTGTCGTGATCTCATTTACGATGGAGAGCATTTGCAAAAGTTGTTCAGGATCGTCTTCTTCTGCATTTTCGTCGCCTTCATAGTAATTAGGCATCAAAATAGGGTCAATGCTGTTGTCGTTTTGGGCTTCTAAAAGAACTTGATGAAGATGTTCATCCCGATCGTGTTTGCATTCGTGCAAAAGTTCTATATTTTCTATAATCTTAAGCGAGTTGGGAGAGATCAACAGCCTTCGAGCTTCCAATGCTTCAGACCATGTCTCATTCGTTGCACAAAGGTTCTGGACTGATCGCCATGGCATGAATAATGTTAACAACGCGCGACAATAACGTTCATGTGTTTCTTCTCGTTCGCGGCGAGGTATTTGAGGACCTATCAGAACTGGTACTACTGGAATGGAACGTTTAATTATGAGATGAGATGTTGATTGTGGATGTACGCTGTCAAATGTATGACGTTCATTCATTTTCGTTCCTTCTGTAGGTAATTGTTGGCCCTGAGGATCGGTTACATTCTTTAGTAAATGACGATCCGATTTATCGATAACCTTCTTGTGAAAATGGCTCACAAAGTCATATAAACACAATGCACTTAGATCCTTTGATCGATGCTGATAGTCAAGACGAGTATTGACCAAGACATACTGATCGCCGCTGTTGGTTTTTGTAAGTTCTAATAAAAATTGCTCTTCAATTTCGTTTTTATCTTCTCCTTGTTGATCGTAGAAAGGCGTTGAAGTCTCTAGAAAACTACATATTAAAAATCTATACAATTACTTTAAAAAGTTCTACCATCTATCCTCTCTTCAACAATTTCTTTTTCGTTACTTCGTGCTTTATTTAGTTCTGTTTGTAGATAGTTTTCGATTGAAATGAGAAAAAGATTTTTGAACGTATGTGTAGTGTAGTGGTCACCATAGTTCATTAGATATGACGCTACTTGAACACCTGAAACTTCTTGTTGTGAAGCAATCATATTAAAGCAGCGTAACACTAGTTTACGCGATTTGCCAACAATATTATCTGTGCTATTAGAAATTCGTTCATGCTCGATAGATTTGATGCCTTGTTGTGCCAGCGCAAACATATCATAGAAGGCCAGAGTAGACTTTGTTACATAATCAGTTATATAGTAAACTAATGCTTTAGCGTCATTTCCACTCCAGATGAACTTAATGTCCATGTTTGATCGACATGCAGTTAAGAGCCATTCGTTGAAGTTATTGATCCACGGGTGCGATCGACGCATAGTTATTTGTCCCGTCGTAGGATCAATATTAGAAACCTTCATTAGTGCACGTGGCATGCGCCTTCGACAAATTTTTGAACTCTCATTCTTGCCTTTAGAATATTTATAGCAAGCTGCAGAATGCTTGTGAATATTGCAGGTTTCGACCAATTGAACTGCATCTTTGCGAAACGTTTGATCGAAGTCTTCCAATGCAGGATTTGGTGTTGGGCGACATGGTGGTATAACTTCACTTGCTGTTGATCCAATTTCTCCTAAGATGAAGTGAGAATTATAATTAAAGATCTACTAAAAGCTTCAAAGCTCACCAATTAATGTTCTATCATCGCTTGTCGTACTTGTTCCGTCGTTGGTTTCATCTTAAAAAAGAATATTGATATTCAAAAGTACAAAAAATAGAAGTCTCATAAATATATAGTAAGAATAAGTGATCAGAATGAAATATGTTTTGCATTAATAAAAATGTTAACAATGTTCTGAAAGCTCAAGTTCGAGGTAAGGCAGTGATACACTATCAAGGTGTAAAACAGCATCAAGTAGGCAAATGTAACAACTTCAAATGACAGATTCGAACAATGTTAAATATATTACCTCGAAACGAATCTAAATCTTCTTTTATAATATCTTCTAAATATTTTAGTAAATTTTCACGAAAATCTTGATTTTGAATTTTTTCTTTCAATTGTGCTGGAGTATATTCATGATTGAGCCAAATCAAGAGATGTAAATGGAGCGATCCTCTTCCTTGACTCTCTACAGTGCCAAAATACGCTTTTGCAGGACCAAGTACACCGCCCAACACTAGGCTTTTCAAAATGCTTTTTATTAAACAGTTGAAGAACTTTGCAGTTGCAACAGGGTGTGTCGCGACAATTTGAGCACGCTCATAACTTGTACGCAGGACTTCTGGCAGAACGTTATCAAGATCGAGATCGACACCTCCAAAGTAAAGTGCCACTGGACTATGGATGTCGGCCGGATTGATTGTGAGGAAAAGGTTAGGAAGACCAAGATAAAAACATAAAGAATGAATTTTCGTACGAAGAGCTGATCGGGAATGAGCTGAACCCATGACGTGACCACCAATAATTTTGATGTGCTTCATCAATGTATTTATTCTCTCGTCAGTAACTTTTGAATAAGGCGCTTTTGAGATATTAATAAGGGCTGCTGCTACATCTTCAGAACTCAATGAGTTAAGAACTTGTGCAGATTGTTGAAACCACGATCTTGTTGTCATTAATTGGGCGTGGAAACATGCTGTTCGACGTTGTAAAATATTGAAGACAACAAATATAAATGAGTAGTGTTCTTCAAAACGGCGATCTGCATACGAAAGAAGATATCTGAGATGCTCACGAAAATTGATTTGAATCGGTCGAGAACCGTCCTCAAGTCCACCACATCCATATGGGAATAGGGTGGGAAAGATTCCTAATAAAAGATTTGGATTAGAATATTCATTGGCCGGTTTGTTGCCACGAGGAATTATGTATACAGTGTCTTGTTTAGAGTTTTGCTCGGT